AACCGAGTAAGTATTTCTGTGGAGCAAAGTCCTTCTTGAGGAGTTACTAAATTATACACTAAGCTAGTCAAAAATATCAATGTCTTTGATGGATAAAGAATGATAAAAGAACAAAGAAATAAAGAAAATAGGAGAAGGAAGGAAGAAACAGTAGTACAGAATAGAATAGAAGAGAAGAAGAAGATGAAATAGACGAAGAGAACATGCCACTTGAAAAAGAAATAAATACGTGTTTATGCACGCAGTTTTTAAAAAGATCACGTATTGAGGCGGTTGTGCATGTCAGTCGTTCGGTTCGACAGCCTTTGTCATACCACAAGTGCGTCTTCAAATGCTCTGTACTGTTTCTGATTTTGTTTGAAATTGGTGAACACGTTACATGTAATTTTATCGAGGTGCAAATTGAACTTGATTGAATTTATAGAAAAGGTTCTTCTTTTAACACTTGGTGTAAAACTAAAAACTTTATTAACGAAACGTACGTATAACGCAATGATAATTCTTGTTTTGAGAGTGTGGCATTATGGTTAAATCAACTGAATGGTACCGAGTGGACGAATTGGCAAGGCTACATAGAGCGTCTCTTCCTTTGGCTTTGGAGACCGCAGGAGACGTAGACGGCAACCACCGTCCAGCACATTGAACACGTCACTGCTCTCCGCAATCAAATTAAGTTTGTCGGTCGCCAGCTTTCATCACAGCATTCAGACACACACACGCAAGCACACATACAAACTTGCTTTCACTAGTGAGTTTCAAAATCTCAGACGTGTTCTGCAAACACAAATACATCCAACTGGCTGTCTCCGTCTGTACGTAAAAGGGACATAAAATTTCCTTAAAGTATATTACAATGAAGAGAGTATCAAATAACTAACTAAATGACAGAGAGTCGTTTTTAGCACGTGATAGTAAATCGGCTGCTCAAGAAATTTCCTTGCTTTTCTTAAGGCATAAGGAGGTTCATCATAGTGTTAACTAAAGCTCGACATTGGTCCCTGTACAAAGTTGGTTCACTATAATCAGTAACAACATCCACCACTGTCCCTTAAAATATATTTTATTGTTTTATGCAATATACGTCTAGTTTTCCAAGTCGTATCTTTCAATGAGTTATTCCCACAAATATTTTATACACATTTTCGTTCCGTCCCTGATGAATGCTACATCTCGTTCTCACCTCATTCTAACAATAAGGCAAAAACATAAGCTCATACTCACGTAATTGTTTTCCGAAAGGATTTTATTTAGTCAACACAGAAGATGTAGATACACAGTCAACACAGACGTTGAACAGCCTCGCAGGAGATATATAAAACAGGACGGATGACTTCAGAAAGAAATAAGATTTTAAGACTGTGACAATAGCAGCGACCATATAAAACTTGAAAACGTTGGAAAACATACATGATAAACAAACACAGCAGATGGTCATCCTCGGGAAGACATACTTTTTTACATATATATGTTATTTTAACTTTCATTTTACCAATGTGCTTGAGCACAATTTACCATTTCCGTAGGAACAAATTCAGAAACTGGTATTTTACCTTCTGTGGTTGTCACCAAGGTCATGTAAGTGGGGTACTTTGCCACCAGCCGTCGGATGACGTCAATCTGTTCCAATGCCAGTTGCACCGCGTCCAAATGCTGAGTGGAACACGGAACATAGGCCGACCAAAACTGCAACATGAGAGAGATGACGCTCAGAGAATATTAGGCATGTAGATTATAATGAGGCCTATAATTTAAGTAAGGCCTGTTGTAACCATTTTTATGAGATTTTTTTAGAAAATCCGATGAAATCCTTTTTGACCTTCCTGTAAGTCAGTAGCAGTATGAACTCAAAATTACAATTACGGATCACCTTTAATGTAGACCTCCAATACCAACACCGAACTTAATCTAAACCCTTTAATTTGTTTACGGGTTAAGTTTAAATACGCGGAAGGACAGGCATAAATGTCTTTATTTGAGAAAAGTTTGTGTGTTTTATTTTGTTTGTAATCTAAGAGAGGCCAGAGCTCCACAGCAAGAAACTTGTGTATAAAGACGTGATAACAGGGAAATGTGATACATTTACTGGAGTCTGAGACAGAATTGCTTGCGACTAGGGGAGGCGCAAAGCTTCTCAGTGGTCAATCGTTTCTAGAGACGCCAATCAGTCGGGACCCTGCTTCGGCCTCGCGTTGCTACGTTTGCAAGCACTCTGTAAACAAGTGTCTAGCCAGATGAAGCGAACAGGGCGTGTTAAGTGCTGACGGCAGGTCGGGTACACTCAGGATATTAATCAACACTGAAAGATTATTTAGAAGAGGAAGTCTTATAACGTAGAATTCCCCAGTCCCTCAAGGAATAGTCAGGGATGGCACATTAAAATAACGCCCTTCCACTTTATTCGAAAATATTATTGATTATAGCGTATCGAACGGTGCAATGAGTGTGAATGGTAAATTGGAAGGGATATGTCAAATCTATTTCAGGCACAATCCCAACCTTTCTAGCGGAAATGAGTAAAATCACGAAGCATGTCTTAAAGTACAATGTGAAGAGGACAATTTATCGCACTGCCTCGTGTTGCTGACTCTCTCTTAGGTCCAAATATTCTCTTCGGCACCCTGTACTCGAACATCCTCAATCTACGTTTCTCTCAGGGTGACAGTCTGAGTTTCACACCGATATAAAACACAAGGTACGCTTAGGGTTTTATAAAATATAAAATTTATGTTATTTATATGTTTTATGCGTGTAAATTAAATTGGACACAAAAGGCTACTATTTCTCTTAATATCATACTGAAACCATATCTCATCACTGTTACAAAGAACTGAATTATTAAAGGAGTTTAAACGAAATAATAACTTTATTTATATTTTGACTACCATAATAAATTTTGGAACAGACTGTACGAACTACAGCTTGATGTGCAATGCATTTCAGGGTTCAATAATAGCCCAGCATGTAGCATATAAAACAGTGTGAAGAGTACATTTATTTGTCTGCAACTCGAAGTTGGGTTCTGATGTTCAGCGTTTAGTATGTAGCTCACGAAGTCTTGTTTTTCTCCCTTGTTCGGGCAGCATTACTGGTAACTGCTGGACATCTACGGTACCGGGGTAATATTGCTTTCATTTCTATTGGCACTCACGCGGGAGGAAGTAATTTACACAAGACTGCTGCTTGCCCGGACATGAGAGTAGCCTCATGACTAAAGGTTAGTGCCTTGGGGGTTGCAGCCTCCAATCTATTGTCTGTGCCCTTTCTTCCTCAACTCTAAGAACAACTCATCATGTACAGAAGAACGGAGAAAGAGAAACTACTGTGGCATGTTTGTAAATTAAGAAAACCGGCAACAACGCACAACGGAAAAGATGTACAAACATTTTATGGGAAGAAAATATCTTGAAAATATATTTTCTATTATTCGTGTGTGATTTGATGACAGCCAATTAATTGTCTAATCACAACTTTCGGTTATCGAACAATTTGTTCGTTTTCATATAGAAGCGGATTAGTCCGTCACTTCCGAAGAGTGAATTCTGGGTTTCGGAGTGGAGTGATCAATTGGAGCAAAAGATCCTAAAAAGGCCAATTTCCATGTCACGTTCTTATAAAATATTATTTATAAATGCCAGATCTGTAGAAAACCCATTCTAACATTGTAATGTCTTATATTATACGAAATTAAATACTGAAAGACCAGCAGACATGTAGACAGACGGAATTTTAAAAGTAGACAGTTAACAGAAGCTTATTTTTCCAATAAAATCACCGAATAATTTTTGCGTAATCACAACACCTTTATGAATATGTCTGTTTCTCAACTTAAAAATTTCAATTAGCATTTTTATATGTCTGGAAACTATAATATATTCTTATATGCCATATGCCTAGCTGGCACAGGTAATCCTCGGCCGGCAGTAATTTTATGTCCGGTCCGCGTAAAGTTTTATAATTTTAACAAATTATTTAATTCACTACTGTGTAATCTAATTCTATTGAAATAAGGAAGCAAATAAAAACATTAGTTAGGAAATGCATATTGTGGTTTTTAGGTTGTGACGCAGTGTATTACTTTAGGTAATTACGAAATATCGGAAGAACGTATCGGCTTCATCTTCAGGATAAGCTTGGTAACTAACCACAAGACTTCACGGTGTCACAACACGAAAGACTACAACCCACATTTTAACCGCAGTGGAATCTCAAGTCTCACATTAGAACAGACGCTGTGAGGTCTACCTGTACCAGAAATAACAAAGAAATTATCGTAGGTACGCAGTGTGGTTACAGAAGACTAATCTACGAGTTCAGCAATGGAATTACTTTGGAATAAAAAATATAAGAGGAAAACAGAATCAGGAAACGAATAAATGTTGCATTGCATTACTGGGAACAAGAGCCAACATAAATCCCTCCCCCTTCCCCAGAGGCGACTCAACCCCGGGCCTACGTCTCGCTCTCTGCTCCAATTATGTCGGCAGGGACAACACAGCAGTTGTAAATTTGTAATGAGATGAGAAGATATTCCTCAGGCAAATAAACAGGAAAGTTAGCATCTTTGATTCAAAGTACCCTGAAGGGCTTGAATTCAGATTTTCACATCAAAACCCCATTTACTTGATTCGTGTCATATTCTTATTATTATTATTGATGTGTTGTCTGAAACAAACATAATAAAAAATTGGTTTCCTTATATACCCTCCAAACAATCAACAACGAAATATATTTCTTTCAGGCGTGGAAAATCAAGAAATTTCTGTTTCAGCAGTATTAAAACATATATATTTTTATTTATGTGCATTAAATTACATGGCTTATATCTCGTTACTTTCTTTTAAAAATATTTTCTCTCTGATACATTCATAAGCCTATACAAATTCGTATTTTATTTACTTGCTGTAAATTCATAAAGTAAATTAATTTACGGTAATAAGCATACATAACAAAAAATATAATGAAAACGAAATAAATGGCCTATGGAAGAATTTGAAGGCAACTTCAACCTAATTTATGCACAACAACTTGAATCTTAAGAACAGCCTCTCTTATTATCGTGCTTATTTATATATTAAACACGTCGAAACACTAAGACAACAAATTAATAAAACATATTTCAGAAAACGCATTATACATGCCTCTTTTTAAACATCATATACATATGGTACTCTCCTTATAACAGGGGTACTCTGGCGATCGAGCAATATTACACACTTCGCTGCAGAAATGCCTGAGCTACTCTTAAAACCATTTTCAGCAGAATCGTGTTGACTTATGGCGTATCATGTAACAGTTTAAGGAGGTCGGTCTACAAAAAAAAGCAGCGAAGACCAAGTACATGTCAATGCACACTGAACTTTTCCTTTAATGAATTTTAATATTTCCCTCTTCCCATGTTTTTCCTCGAGTGTAGAGAATCCCAATTCGCACAAGCAAGATGCTCAACTAGTTTAGGACTTGCGTAACTCACAGGTTTAAATTTCTATGACACCCCTGGGAGATGTCTGTGGTAACCACAGGGCATAGCGGCGTTGCTCAAGTGGTTTGTGACAAAGGCTGGTTCATTATACCAATAACATGTGGGCACTGCGTACTGTCTGAAGTATTAACTTAACGTGTGCATATTAATAGGCATTTTCCACCGTTCTTAACTTGAGAATGCTCTGGGATTAGCATCAAAGTTCTTTAATGGACCCATCTAACTAGGCTATGCATATACATTTATTTTCACAGTCTATACACAAACGTTGTAATTAAATGATGTTGTTAAAATTATATAATATTAAAACATTATGTAGTATAAAATATTATATTTTGGCGCTTTTTATCGTAAATACGATTTTACATTATTTAGCGCTTTTTTACGACATGTTTCGATGGATAAGACCTCATCTTCAGGTTTATATCAATTTTATAATATTTTAAAATTATTAGATATTTAATCAACACAAACATGACGCATTTAAGCTACAAATAGGCTATGCAGTTTTATCTGATGACGGAAACATAAATAGCTTCCGAAATGTGATAGGTTCTCAAAATTAAAGACAACGGAAAATGTCCGCTAATGTGCATCAAACCTTCGGCTTTCTGAGGCATGTCTGACACAAAGGATATTTCAGAATTTTGCTCAAATTCTGAATTCGGGTGATTGCTTGTTGTTGTTCTGTTATTATAACATATTATTATTCTTTACTGAGAATTTAAGCAGTAGCATAACTTTTATGGTTCTAGCTTAGTATTGTAAAGGTTTCGGGTTCGATGCAGACAATTGCTACCAATTTTAATAATGTTGATCATGAAGATTTCTGTCTTCTGGGTTATTGCGCCATGTAGTCTGGTAAATTTCCACCAACGTTTTAGAGGTCACACTACCTCCGTCATCAGGGCGATGAATTCAGGCAGTATGCCCCCTGAAACGCTGGTATAAATCTACCAGACTACATGGCGCAATAACCCAAAAGACAGCTATCTTCAGACTCACAGCTGTAACCTCATAATCATAATAATAATAACAATCGATCATCATGATGACAAATAATCACCTGAAACTACAAATGGAGCCAATAATCTAAGAGTGGAGATGTACAGCGATCATGATATTGGTGTGAATCTTTAATAATCTCCGTATAAACGATATTTTATAAGGAAGCTGCATTTATACGTTTGAACATTTAGGAAAG